AGACATATTATTGGAGATACAGAATGACGACTCATATTTAGATCATTTCATGTAAGTATCTGTTATAAAGATCTCATTGATCTACAAGCTATCAAACATATTAATATCAGCATCTGCACCAAATTGCATATTTGTGCTCAGATTGAGCCTGATGTATCAAATATGATATAAACACGTGATTTTTTTTTTTAGATTTTGTCTAAGTTCAATAAATCATTTAATTAAAAAAACAACTATTATTTCATATGTCAGACTTTAGAGGGTTAAAAATAAAGGTTAAAAGACATACACCAAGAAATGTTCTTAAAAATGTAATTCTTGTATTCTGTGAACTTTTATACCATCTTCAACAAATGTTTTGATTAAACGACTTCATTGAATGAAAAGTAATAATACATTTTCTTTACACCTTGAATACAAGCATACACATTAAAATAAATGTTATAAAATGTGTGAAATTCATGTGACTTTTCTGTAAGGGCTCTCAATCATCATTGGATTGCAATGCATTGAATGTTTTGATCATTTCAATCTCATCTTACTGAGACATATTATTGGAGATACAGAATGACGACTCATATTTAGATCATTTCATGTAAGTATCTGTTATAAAGATCTCATTGATCTACAAGCTATCAAACATATTAATATCAGCATCTGCACCAAATTGCATATTTGTGCTCAGATTGAGCCTCATGTATCAAATATGATATAAACACGTGATTTTTTTTTTTAGATTTTGTCTAAGTTCAATAAATCATTTAATTAAAAAAACAACTATTATTTCATATGTCAGACTTTAGAGGGTTAAAAATAAAGGTTAAAAGACATACACCAAGAAATGTTCTTAAAAATGTAATTCTTGTATTCTGTGAACTTTTATACCATCTTCAACAAATGTTTTGATTAAACGACTTCATTGAATGAAAAGTAATAATACATTTTCTTTACACCTTGAATACAAGCATACACATTAAAATAAATGTTATATAAATAGTGGTATTTGAATAATGGTATACTAAAGCAATAAGCCCAGTGAAGCCGTGGTTTACAGTGAATTTATAACAGCTAAGGGTCGTTGTTAGGTACGACGCGAAGCGGAGCTTATTGCTTTTATAAAACGGTTATTCCATATACGTAGTAAGGTTTCACAAAATAAAACAGAGCAAATAAAGTGTAATGATATTAATAAAAACAGTATTCTTCCACCAAACAATGTAGCTCCAACAAAGTGGTTGCCGAGCAACACACAGAAGTAAACAAAGGTGTGTGTTTGTAGAGTAATTTACAACAGCTTCGAACGCGGCTCAGCCAATCAGAATCAAGGACCGGAACTCTCCATTTTATAACAATTCAACAATAAACAGCCTGAATGAATTTTCCATGTCATTAAAAGTTTTTAAAAATATAGTATTTTCTGGAGTCATGAAAGTATTCTTCCACCAAACAATGTAGCTCCTCAGAATCAGTTGTGGTTGCAACAAAGCGGTTGCCGAGCAACACAGAAGTAAACAAAGGTGTGTGTTTGTAGAGTAATTTACAACAGCTTCGAACGCGGCTCAGCCAATCAGAATCAAGGACCGGAACTATCAGTTTTATAACAATTCAACAATAAACAGCCTGAATTAATTTTCCATGTCATGAAAAGTTTTTAAAAATATAGTATTTTCTGGAGTCATGATTGTGTACAGGAGTCTGATATCAATTCCTGTTTTATGGGGTTTTTTTGTCGCATGACAGCAAAATAGCTTCCCTGACATTTGATTTGGCACCAAACTTTTTTTTTTTTTTTTTTAGTAAAAACATTTTGTAATATGACTCAATAACCTTAGAATTAACTGCATCCCAATGTGGCCTGGTCACAATCACCTCCAAGCAAAGCCACGCTGATTGGCATGACAGTAAATGAACAGTAAGTCACTTCGGATTAAAGCGCCTGCTGAAGAACTGAGTAATTGTGTTGCTTGCCAGTTCTTTGACTGCTGTGTTCATTACTGTAGAATGTCATGTACTGCCAGTCATTTGTAGTTTGTATGACTCATAATGGCCGGCTGTGCGACCCAGTGTCCTACATATTAAAGCTGATTTGAGAGCGGAAGACTTTTCCTCCATGTGTGAACAAGTGTGTGTTTGTTTGAGCACGTGTTTGTTCAGGAGCGAGTCTATCTCTGTTTATGTAGGCCTGAGCTGTGCTATCACGAGCATTAGTCTAAACATGTTTCAGGTCAGAAAGAGAAAGAACGAGTCGTTTAGTTTGAGATTAAGCAGATGTCCGGAACAGCTGATTTGGGCCCAGAATAAAGTAACACTGATGTAGTGAAAAAACAACAAAATGAGAGAGGGGAAAATCATGAAGTAAAACAGGATCGCAGTCTGAAAGATGTTTAGAAAGGCAAATATAGGAGAAAATGACAGAGATATTCAATGAAAAGGTCAGTTAAATGAACAACCTTATGGCCATTTTTGGGTGACCTGGTACTTTAAGGCAGGGTTCATAAGTTTAATTTACTATATTGAATGTAACATCAAAATAAATGAATGGGGCTGCACGATAATCACAATATAGCTTAGTGTAATTATCAAATCAAAGCCTGCGATTTCATTAAATGTGAATGAAGCGCAGCACTGTGTTCATTTACACACGAGCAGCTCATGATTCAGGGTTTTCTGCTTCTTGGTTCACTGTAAATGCACTGAACTACGTTCATGCATGTGCTGATGAGTTTAATGCGCATTTGAAAATGCAATGTGCACTAGGTTTGCTTTATTTACATATTTGCATAATTCCCAGCATTTAGACAGAATTTTACAGCATTTCAGTAGTGTTTTGCCAAAAATTAAAGCTCAAGGATTTAAATTATGAAAAGTATGTGCATTTGAACATCTGGAAGTAAAACATTTTAGACATGAATATCAGTATTGTAACTTGTAAATAATAATGATAAAACTTATTATTATCAATTATTCACTATTGTAGTTTAAAACTATAATATTGGTCTTCGTTTTTAGAATTAGTTCAAACCTAACAACAACTATTATAACTAGATAAAAAAGTTCGTCAAGACAAACTTTAAGTTGGCTTGAGAAAGCCGGACCAGAAAGCTAGGTTGCTAGGGTGTTGCTATGCGGTTGCTAGGGTACCCAGGGCAGTTGCTAGGGAGTTGCTTTGCGGTTGCTAGGGTACCCGGGGCGGTTGCTAAGGTGATGCTATGCGGTTGCTAAGGTACTCGGGGTTGTTGCTAGGGTGTTGCTATGCAGTTGCTAGGATACCCGGGGCGGTTGCTAAGGTACCCGGGGTGGTTGCTAGAGTGTTGCTATGTGGTTGCTAGGGTATCCGGTGCGGTTGCTAACGTGTTGCTATTCGGTTGCTAAGGTACTCAGTGTGGTTGCTAGGGTGTTGCTATGCGGTTGCTAGGTTACCCAGGGTGGTTGCTAGGTTGGTTTGGATAGTTGCTCGAGTGTTGCTATGATGATAGATAGATAGATAGATAGATAGATAGATAGAAATAGTCAGATGATAGATAGATAGATTATAACTATTATAATAATAACGATGATGATGATAATAATAATTATTAATATTATTCATTTTTATCAATATTATTATTATTATTATTTAATTTGATTTGGCTCCTAAAACACCAGTGTGAATGACTGACACACAACAACAAAAAAGAGGTTTGAGTCTACTTTAAAGTCCAGCTGCAAAGTCAAAATAAAACACTTACTAAAAATAATCATATTAATAAAGATATTATATTTTATCTGTTTACTTGCATGTCATGTGATCAACTTTAGAGAACTGTGAACAAACAAACTTAAAATCTCAGGGGGTACTTCAAGTAAATATTTAATGCCTAATGGTTTTGGCTGAAAAAAAAGTTTGGGAGCCCCTTCCTAAAAGAGTCACATGCTGATTTAATGTAAATTCTCTCATTGTAACAGTATGTGGAGCTGATGAGTCGCCGGCAGGGCGAGCTGGACTCTCTGGTTGCCGTTGGTTACCGCTCCGCTCTGACAGAAGAAAGGCGGCGCTATTGCTTTCTGGTGGACCGTCAGTGTTCAGTCACCAAGATCCTCACCAACTACCACTGCAAGGTAACACTACAGATCCGAGCTTCAACCAGCTAACTCATGCTGTAAAGGACTAGCAGACACAACAGCCTCACTAGAAAATGTGCCTCTACCTACATTCTAGCAAAACAAAAACAAAAAAGTACCTATATGTACAATTCACTGTGGTTTCCAGCTGAAACAAACACTCCATAATGTATGTAAACGTGCTCGGTAGCGCACCTGGTGCAGCATGTAAAGCACTCGGGGACAAGTCCCCTGAAACTCAAGTCACTATAGACCAATTTCAGTGTTTGCAAACAGTGATGACGTTTTTTGTGGGCGGAGCCTATCTGGTGGCAGAAAATGACAGTTTTAAAGTAGCAGTCTATTCAAGCCACTGAATAAAAGAATAAAAAATTTAATTTTGAATTTATATTTCAAAATTCTGACGCTTTTCTTGCAATTCCGAGATTATATCTCACAATTCTGGTAAGAAAAATCAACTCGGACATTCTAATTTATTGAGATGCACCTGTATTTCAACTGTAGGGCTAATACAATATGTCCCCTATATGAATATTATATAGACCTATTGTTTAAATGAAACGTATGCTTTAAAAGTAGGGTAATCATAGCAGGTTTCATCCATAGTCTGTCCGTTTAAACGTCTGCGTTTAGCTTCAAATGGCGTCTTTGACGACAGTATTATATAAAAATTATTTGCATTCCGATTCTGACATCCAATGGCACAACAATACATTTTTTCTCTTATTCCATGGTTTTTACCCGTTTCCCTCCACTTGTTCCCAGTGTTTTTATGCCACCACTATGCACGCGCAGCTGCAAGTGACGTAACTGTGACGTATACTCCAAATTGGTCTATAATGTGTAACATATAAATGAATAACATTGGTATTATATCTGTAGCAAGAGCTCTTCTCAGTGTTCTCAGCATCTTTCCTCCTGATTATTTTAATTTTTCCTTTGTATTTCTATGCAACAATGTGAAAAAAGAGACATATACTGCGCATTTGTGGTCTGCTTCCTCTATGTATTTATGATATGTCCCATATAATTATTCACTTGAATTCACTAAGAATTAAAAAAAAAATCACAAAGGCTTGTTTTCACAATTTAAATGTCCCGGTAATCATAGCAGGTTTCATCCATAGTCTGTCCGTTTAAACGTCTGCGTTTAGCTTCAAATGGCGTCTTTGACGACAGTATTATATAAAAATTATTTGCATTCCGATTCTGACATCCAAAGGCACAACAATACATTTGTTCTCTTATTCCATGGTTTTTACCCGTTTCCCTCCACTTGTTCCCAGTGTTTTTATGCCACCACTATGCCCGCGCAGCTGCAAGTGACGTAACTGTGACGTATACTCCAAATTGGTCTATAATGTGTAACATATCAATGAATAACATTGGTATTATATCTGTAGCAAGAGCTCTTCTCAGTGTTCTCAGCATCTTTCCTCCTGATTATTTTCATTTTTCCTTTGTATTTCTATGCAACAATGTGAAAAAAGAGACCTATACTGTGCATTTGTGGTCTGCTTCCACTATGTATTTATGATATGTCCCATATAATTATTCACTTGAATTCACTAAGAATTAAAAAAAAAATCACAAAGGCTTGTTTTCACAATTTAAAAATGTCCCCTTTACACTTCTAATTCCTGTTAGCAGTGTTTACTGGAATGTGTCTAAAGCAGGAAAGTACAATATTTGCAATCTGTCAAAATGACAGAAATTGCTTTGAAATATTATCACGCAGTCTTCCAGTTAACTCCCCCGCAGCATTTTGTTGTTTGAATATCTGAACATGCAATATGCCAAAAGAAAGAACTGAGCTTCTGCTTTTAAACAAACAAATAACAATACAAATATATATATATATAAAAAACATTTTATTCTAGCTTCCTGCATTCTTTTTTTTAATCAACACTAGAATATGGGCAAGTTTAATGTAAACAAAGTAACATTTTAAACAAAAAAGCTGAGGAGAAAATGGCGTTTTTGTCCAAGACTAAGTCTGGATCAGATTCAGAACGACGATCAAAACACAGATGGAGTAGATTGAGTCCATCAATACCCCAAAAGCTTCAGAGTCCACTTTCTAAATCGTCATTTCATTTGGAAACGTTATGCAGTTTATATGCTATTTAATGCTTGATTATCAAGCAATTTTACATATGCATCTGTTTACATATGCGATCGCTTATTTCGGCTTCTTCTTCGCTATGTTTTGATCCAGAGATTCTGTACTCTATCAGAAGATGTGTAATAGCGCCTCCTACTGTATAACACTGAAAACATGGAAAAGTGCACTTTTTTTCAAACGTTTCAGAATATTTTCAGTTGTCTTAGTGCAATACACACAATCAAAAAGTATCCTTTTCACTACACAAAATAAACGTTTCATCTATATAAATGTTTCATTCATAGTAACTGCCTTTCATAAAGCTCTTACTAGCAAACTTTTAATTTGCATGTCTTCTAAAAGCAATAAGCCCCAAGAAGCCGTGGTTTACAGTGAATTTATAACAGCTAAGGGGCGTTGTTAAGGCACAACTAACTATCGTTATAGCTGTTATAAATTCACTGTAAACCACGGCTTCTTGGGGCTTATTGCTTTTATAAAACGGTTATTCCATATACGTAGTAAGGTTTCACA